TTATCTAGTGAAACAAACGATGTGGGGATGAAACATTATATTATCTGAATTTACAATCATGTGTAATAATGTGGGCCTCATTTTATCTACACAGTACAATCCTTCCTTCCCCATATTAATTTAGGGTGAAATTTTGTACATAACACAAGATTTTAAAAAAATTGTAAAAATACGAGGGTTGAGATCTTAATTGCATGGATAACTATTGAGTTGCTTTTATTTATTGATAAAACATAAACTTATGTTACCTTATTAATCCACTTTCCTACAATCACGCAAAGATTGAATTAAAAAATAAGGAAAGTGTGTTTCACCAAATAATTCGTATTATCTGTTCATATCTAATGGAAAAAAGAGTTAACATTTAAAAATTCAAACGTATGAGAAAACATGAGAAGAAAATATACGCGATATCAAAAAATCAGTCTCTGTTGATGATCTGAAAACAAGATTTTATATATTCCCAATTATAGAGCATATACATCTCCTCATCGCCGATCCAGCTTTATTGCAAAACATATACAGAACATAAAAAAAACATAGACAAGACATAAAAGATTATTATAGTCAAGAACATATACAGAACACATACAGAACTGATACAATGGTTACACATAGTGCACACATACAGAACTGATACAGTTACTCCACTCAAAGATCATATACAAAACGTGTACAGAACATGCACAGAACATGTCAGTGCAGAACATATTTTTTAGGTGTTGTCGGCGTGAAGTTTTTTTATTGTTGTCGTCGGGATCCAAAAATGGCCCGAATCGGATGTGAAATCGGCCTTTTAATGTCTTTTTTTTTTGGGTCATATCCGTTTGTCCTTCGATTTCATTTTTTTGTCAAAGTGCAACTCTTTTGGATCAGTGTAGGATGCTTCTTTGCTTGTAAATTTTGTAGACGAGAGCTGGATCAACGATGAGAAGATGTCTCGTCGCCGGTTATAGGACTTTTTCCAAACTTTGTTCTTTTCATGTTCGAATTTTCAGTATATGAGATTAGGGTTTGCAGTTGGTGGGTTGTGGGAGAGAGTAGTGGCGAAAGTATCTTGGTATTTGGATGTGGGTGGGCGGTTACAGGTGTGAGATGAGGGAGAGATTTTTCTTATCAAGTTCCTCGGGAAGGTGATAAGTCACCTTTAGTTACGCTGACTTAATATGTTCCTTTTAGTTCATCAGTTTTTATATATCTGGTAATTTTGCAATTATAAAGGTGAGATCTTGTATATTTGCTAATATTTGGAATGGGGTTTCATTTGTGTAATTAAAAATGATAAGGGTGCAATTTTCTCATTAATTTAGTCTAATATACTCATACGAAACAAATTACCCCACATATTATACTGTAGTTAGGTTGAATCTTTAAACTCTTAATAATAATAATAATAATAATAATAATAATAATAATAATAATAATAATAATAATAATAATAATAATAATAATAATAATAATAATAATAATAATAATAATAATAATATACTTGGTTACACCTCTTATTTTTCTGTTATTTATTTATTCACTTATTTATGCTTTTGCGTTAATTATTTGATACTAAGACACGTTTTAGAGTTGTATAAATTTGATTATTCTGTTTTACATTGATGAATACTACAATATACTACAATATCAAAAATACATTGGAGGAAACCAAACTATAAAACCAATATGAAAGGTAATAAAAAAGTATATTTAATATTTAATTTGTGATGTTACAGGAGAGACCGAGAGAACGATGCGTGCAACCACGGAGGCCGCACGCATACGAGAGGACCACTTGGCACCTGTGCGCAAGGTCAACCGGCCAAAGGTGCGATGCCCGACTCCATTTTCCATCAACACGCATAAAGCAGGAGACGACGCGCCGGCAGGAAGTGTGAGGCCGATACCCAAGAGGGTTAGGCGGTTGTCATGGGATGAGATGCAAAAACGACGGGAGAATTATTTGTGCTTCAGTTGTGACGAGAGGTTTACCCCAGGCCACAGGTGCAAAGAAACAATCATTTTTAATCGAGTACGCGGATTCTGACAAGAAAGGACAAGAAGAAGATGTGCCCAAGTATGACATGGATCATCACGAGGACGACCTAGAGATTTCGATTCATGCAATGGCTGGGCTTAGGGACCGAATACAATAAAGTTTTCGGCGCGGCAGTGAGATCGCAGAGTGGTGGTGTTAGTCGAAGATGGCTCATCCCACAATTTAGTTAATTCCTCTCTTTCCTATGAACTGAAGTTGCATGTGAATAACGTAGATCCATTTAATGTTAGAGTCGCTAATACGGGAAACAATTGAGGTGCTCTGAATTCTTTCGGATTTTACCCATTAAGATGCAAGGCGTGACGGTAAATGTCGACCTCTACACATTGTCGTTGGTCGGACCGAATGTCGTATTGGGAGTTCATTGGTTGAAAGGATTGGGGCAATCACGACGGATTATCAGGTCAGTACAATGGAGTTTCGGAAGGGTGATAGACTGGTCAAGTTAAAGGTCGAGGTTAACGACTGGAGTAGATGGGGTAAACGTAGAAAACGGGCACACCACGTTGTTCCTCTCGTCCAACAAAAGCGAGGGCTGGATCGAGAGTTATGTTCTTGAGGGACTCTTTGGATATAATTCACATATTGGTTCTACTTTGATTAATATATATGGAAATTGTGGGAACTTGGAATGTGTCACGCATATTTGAAAGTATGACTATTAGAAACCAGGTTTCTTAGAAACCCATGATATTTGGACTTACATTTCATGGGGATGCACAGACGTCGCTCGTCTTATTTCAGTGCATGTCGGAAGAGGAAAATGTTTGGTGTTCGGAATATCACTTTTGTCGGGGTTCTTTTTCCATATGTTCATGCAGGTCTGGCGGATGAAAGTCGTAGATTTTTAATATGATGAGCTTCTCTTTCGTGCTAGACGCCGAGAGTTGGGGCATACATGTACAACCTTAGTCATGTACATCTATTAATCTCGTGATGTATACGTGGCTTTTGCTGCCAGATAATCGGGTTATGGGGCTGGACACACCTTTTAGAGGAAACACAAGCCAGGATTGTTATTTGTCGAACGGTAGAGAAGTGTTCGGGGCATCGAATTTTTTTCGTAAATCTATTATATAAAGCGAACCCTCAGACTGAGCATGTGGACTACAACAAGCTTGAGCAGAAGTCATTGGATTTTCGGCCCATAATATTGATATGTGGTGCGAGGTGTAGGATGATAATTGGGAGAATCTATAAACATCCGCGATCAATTTTCCGAACTTTATCCTTGAAGACAAGGATATACTGAAGGGATGCGAATTGGGCGCATGAGTAGTCGCACGAACATACGCCCTACAGTACCAGGCTGTCGCGCTGCGATAACCATCGCGATGTCCTTCTGTCACGACACTTGTCGCGGGTCAACAAAGGCCGCAGGAGGATGAAGCCTCGCGCCATGCTACCCCACAACACGGCCACGCGACAGCACAACCACAGACCGCACGACGTCCACAGACCGTCTCACATGCCTCGCACCGCGCCAACCTTTGCAAGCCAACATAGCCCGGGAATGCTCCAGGCCACGCGCCGCAACCACTCGGCAAGCAGCAAGGACCATTTTAGAATTTTCTTTCATTTTATGTTTGGCTTCCTTAATTTATGTTTTCTAGGACTCGAGTTGCAAAACCTGGTTTTTCCTTCCTTTAGAATTCTTAAATTCTTTTTTATAGTTTATGCAAACAGAAAACAAAACCGCTCGCGTTCGAGCAAAACTTCTCGTGTTAACCGACAACCAACAGCACAGATTTTCTCAATTTGAGTAGTTCGAAACACGATCTTCATCAGACTTCTAGAACACTTGGTTTAGAGTATAATTAATTTAGAACAGAATCCTAAACTACTTATAGCATCGTTGACATACTTCATCATCCCACATATTTAAGCATCAATTGTATGGGGGAAAAGCCCTTAAGTAATCAGACCACATACCAAGTAGGAAAAACATGATAAAACATTACACTATTACAGCATGAGTGAGCCAACAAAAACCTGATAACAAACTGGAAAACAAGAACCTCTACTGGTACACAGTTGCAAAGAAGCTAAAAGCTGCAAACTTTTCGAATGAGTTGAACTCGGTCAAACATCAAAAGGTTATGCGGGAAAACATGGCTAGGGCAAATTTTCAGAAATACCTCACATCCAGTTAGGCCAATTCTGTAGAAATACCTCACATCCAGGGTCTCACACAATGCACTACATGCACATCACAGAGAAAGTTGTCTGAGTTCGCGACGACAAAAAAAAAAATTCACATAATCCCACAGACGGTAGACCAGTACTGTTCGAGCAAGGACTGTCTCAGGCAGACGAACCATTAGTGCTCTGAGTCACCTTTAACTCGACTCATCTTTCTGGCAGCAAAATCTATATCTTCTTCAAATCATAAAAAATTAGGACATCTATCTTTAACATATAAGTTATATGTAGCCTATAAGTATAATGATGCTGCAAAGACAATATCCCTTTTAATCTTAGTGACGGCATCCTCGAATTTTGTTTCAAGATCCGTCTCGCCAATTGACTTTGCTGCTTGTATCAGTTGCTGAAGGACTTCTTCCAGTCTCCGGATTGCACGAATCAAGCTGCCCTCAAAAACCGGTGTCATTTCCATAATTTCATAAAATTTGGATCCGCGAGCCCAAGCATAAACGGCCTCCATAACATCCGGTCTAAAGGAACTCACAAAATTCTCGACGTCAATTTGGACCTGAAACACCAGATTAAAAATTATAGAATACTTCAAACTTATCAACAACAATCAGTTCAAAAACATCACAACTAGAAAAGGAAAAATATATAAAGGAAAAATAAAGTGGGAAAAAACTGCAGTACTTTGCACTCAAGCTGAACTTTAGCCACTTTACGTGCAGTATCCTGTAATTGTGTGAAGAGCAACTCAAGCTCATCCCGAGGCTTTTGAGCTTCCTGAAGCTTTTCTTGCCACACAAAACATGAGAGGAGAGATATCATCTCCTCCACCTTTATGTCCTTCAGAAGCCCACTGAACATAAGTTCGGTTAAAGTCAATTCATCCGCACTGCTGATTTCACATGCTACTTTCCCCTTCAACTCCACGACGTCATCACTAGTAATATATCTGCATATTTTTACTACATTTAGCCTCTCTTATTAAAGATATTTCGTCATTGAATAAGAAATGAAGGAAGATGTAAAGAAATATGCACACTGAGGTCAATGCTGCAGGTACAGGATGCAGAGTAACGAGGTTGTTCTGAAATCAAAACTTTGCTCAAACTTCTAAACAATGAATGCTTCTGTCTACAATTTTTTCCCAAAATTGTTAATGTAGTTAATCAGATGAAATCTGAGTTTAGGGGCAAGAAGACAAAAAATCTTCGAAACAGACTGCTCCTTTCATCTCCCTAATCGTATTAATACTAGTGCATCCAGAACCATTAGAGCTAGAGATCTTAAAAACATAGATAACTTGTGAGCAAATGAACAAACAAACGTGTCCACAATGCCAAGACATGTGCATACTGAAAAGTGGTGACTTACCCTAGTCTCCTGAGTACTCTTTTCCTTGCTTTAAGTTCATCTTTGAAAGCCAAGACCGAGGAAGATTTCATTGTTCTCTTTATTAATTTGATTTTTGCCGTAAGTTCTTTCTTCATATGCAAAACATTGAGCTTTTGCTCAATCAGTGGAGATTTGGAAATTTCATGCTTTTCAAAAAGGTTTTCCAGTGCTTCTATCCTTCGTGATGCCTTCTTGTACGAGCTGCTTTGAACCTGAATAATATGACGGATGTCAGTCGGATAATTGAGTAGAAACCTGAGCAACATTAAACAACCTAAAAGAAAAAAAAGTGGTAGCAAACCTTCATGTCATCTTCTGGATCTAGACGAGGCATGCCTTCTTTTGCAAATCTATTGAGAACTTCACACACCTTTTTCAACGTGTTTTCTCGAGCTTCTAATGGCAGAAGATCCTTCGGTATTACTAACCGGATACTACTTAAGCTATCAATCTGCTTACAATAAATTAAATGAATATGTTAATCCCCTATATAATCAAGGTACAACAAAAATGCTGCTTTTAAGTTTTATCATATAAAAGAGTACTGTCTGACATATATATCATTCATGCCAAGGAACCAAAATTTAGTTGACCAATAATCTCATTTTTACAGAACTCGAGTCATATTAAAAACTGAATAATCCGCATTCATCTTTCCTCGGATTCACTGTGTCTACCTTCCCCTTTAACTTGACAGCAAGTGAATGTCCAGAAAAAAACAAACACACTCAGTAAAAAATCATGAAAGACAAAAATGCAGGTAAGAATTGCCTGTGAAATAGGAATTGAAATAACAGCTGGTTCTCCAGGATCTTTTAATGGAAGAATCTTGATTGTTTTCTTAGCAATTTCATCCTTGTGCACTCTACATCTCGTGAGAACATCCACTGTGTAGCTTGCGTCTTCTGGCTTCTCGATGACATCATCTGAATTAGACATTTATTAATGAACAATGATCATGACGTGAAAGAAACAAAACCGTCAAGCTGACTGAATTAGCCTCTCACCTTCAGATGGTACTTTAACCCTCTCGAAATTTATTATAACACCCCATGTTACCTCGTCATTTAAAGAGAATGACGAGGAACCCTCATCATTTATTGTGCATTGGAGTGAAACAAGCCTTCCAGGTTGCAGAAAGGGTAAGCAGTATTTTGGGGAATTTACTGTGTCACGGATGTCCTTCTTTAAAGATTTGTATTGTTGCAGAAGAGAATAATAATTGTCCAAGCTATCCTCCTCTTCTATTATAATGGAATCCCTCTCGTTTTCCAGGGCTTTTGATTGTTTCTGCAAGGAAAAGGAAGACATTAAGAATGATTGCATATCTGAGACCTCTTAATGATATTACAATATCATCAAAATAACCGACCTCGAGATCCGGAATGGATCGATCTGCTTGAAATTGATAGAAAGAATTACGAAGCAGATTTTCAGGATCACCATCTTCAGATCGTATTTGATTCAAAAGCATATTGTAGCTTAAGTGAAATGCGCTGGATTTAAAAAACAAATTATCAGAGGGAGAGAGAAAGATGACAGAGAATTTTCACCAATAAAACTTGATTTTTTAACAAAATTCTCAAATTTAAATCATTCAATCACATAGTTGATAAAAGCATATAGTGAAAATTTGTTTATATCAACAGTGATAAATTGTATTGCTTCTCATTACTTAATATATATTATCCATCAGATTCAATGAAATCCTTGGGAAAGGCAATTGGGAACTAGACCGATATTTCAAGCGAATGCAGTAAAGTAGAATCAAAAAATAAAAAATGTTCATCAACTTATATCAAAACAACATTGCCCTACCACTGTCAGAACAGCTGAACAAGCAATCCAACTTCTCCACACAATAAAAAGTATAAGGAATGCAGCCAAGAAAATTCAACCATATAGGAATCTTCAGTGACGTTTGGAGCCCACCAATATGATATGCAGGACAAAAACATGAAAACATGTCTTGAGCAATAGCCATATCTTTCACTATGAAAATTTACATGCATCTACATGTTTAAAAGAACTCAAGCCAACTTCACTAAATTGGATATATATTTCTCAAATTTAAGTCAACTGCGGCGACACAACGGAGAAAAAGGACTTCTCAAGAACTCATAGAAAGGACTGTTATCGTTAAAAAAAAAAATTAAAACAGCAGTTTTTACCCACGTCTTAACACGCTAATTAAGAATGTCACTGACTGACAAATTTGATAGGTCACCTGTTTAAAGGGTCTGCACTTCCTTTCAACATTGTTTTTGCTGTCGAAGGTTCTAGTTTCTCATCAACCATAAGGATGCAGATCCCACGTTCGTCAATTCCTCGTCTACCAGCACGACCACTCATCTGTATGTACTCTCCACTAGATATCCACCTAAACTTATCTCCATCAAATTTGCGTACATTAGTAAAGACGACAGTCTTGGCAGGCATGTTCAGCCCTATGCTGAATGTCTCTGTAGCAAACAAGCACTAAAGGACAGAAAAATAAAGAAAAAATATCATTAAAACTGAATATAAAGAAAAGGTGAACTATAATTTGGAGAACATGCAGAGTTTTATTTAATTTGTTTTCTGCTTTGGATTCAAGTGAAGGACAATGTCGAAGGCATGGTGACTCCAAAACAAATACTATGCAACATGTTCCACGTAATATATGCTGTCATCAACTCTCGCCATAACTATTCAATGTTCGCCTTGTAAAATAAAAAATTCCAAATAAGAGCTTCTTATGAGTTATGAGTCAAACACAGACAAACAAATGACCAATATGCGGCATGCAAACTGCAAACTGATTCAGAAACTGAAGGGACTGAATTAATGACGGATCTTTTCCTTTCAGGGGCGAGCTAAATAAAGAATCTGTTCTATCAAGAACTATCAACACGTACTTGCACAGTATAAGCAAAGCAAATAGGTGAAGAACATAATTTTAGCAACAGATACGAGTCATACGACTCAAAAAATTCTCCTGCCAACCTTGATGAATCCTTCTTGGAACAAAATTTCAATGACTTCCTTTAGTATGGGAAGCAAACCTGAGTGATGCACACCTATTCCCCTTTTCAGCAAGGGCAGCATATTTGAGACCTGTAATGGGTCAACAAATGAAACTATGAAGTACGAAAATATAAAGAAATCATAATAGCAGTAATTACACATCTTATTCTCCTAAAACCGTACAATAATCTAACCTGAGGCAACTTTTTATCATCATCTGACAACATGTCCATAGCACTCCAGAAGATATTTTCAATGTTTACTTTCTCGTCCTCACTATTTAGATCCATTTTCGACATCTGCTTACAGAGAGAAAAATGTCAAGCCACTAACTATAGGTGGAAAAACAATAGCGAATTTAGCAATTATGATAATCATTATGTCCATAATGTGCCAACAAATAATATACAATTAATAAATCACAGATTAAATCGAACCAAGTTAGCAACTGATTTCTTTCTATAGAGTACATCATTTACTTTAGGCTCATGTTGTTGAAGATATATAGCTCTGAGTTGAAGAGCCGAAATAAGATTCCGGTTAAGTACATTGCAAAATAGGATGTATCCGAGTGTTTAACCGCTTTGGATTACATAGTATTCTTGTCGTAAGTTTCTCGCTAATTTAGATAATACAGCAGATTTATCTAAATAAGTACAAATTGGAAGGATGAATGAGGTAAAGGAATTTGACAATTTTCCTGTGTCTCCTCATTGCAATAGCTTAACTATTCAGAATTTTTGCTTCACCAACCAGAGACAAGCTACAAGGAGCAAAGCATATTGTGGAGGTCTTAAACATACTACTCAGAATTCTAGAATAAAAGATGCAAGATGTTGCTAAGTTACTCACGTTTTAAAGCTCAGGCTAGTTCCGATAACATAAACAAAGGTATGAATTCAATGTTAAGAACATATCAATGACAGTGAAGAAGAGGTACTGCACTACAATCAAGTAGAAGAATTCAAACCTGCATAGCGAGGAATTCACATTCTCGTTTGCTGAAGCTGAAACATATTACGGGATCGTACTGACGCATAATGATCATTTTCACCATTTTAAATATATCACTATCTTCACCCGATTTACCCAAAACTGCACCTTTCTGCCATTTCCTGTTCTCCTTCTTTTTGTCTTCACTCATTGGATTGATTGCATTTAATGCTTTCTGAAAACTGTCTTCCCGGAACTTACCATTCTCATCCACTGCTAAATATAGACCATCACCTCCAGAAGGGAATATGTAATGCTGAAGAGGTGTAGGTCGATAATCTGTATAGACAATATGACATGGTTGCTGATGCACCTTTGCTACCCAATCAGCAAATTCCTTTGCATTAGGCACTGTAGCAGATAGAAACACAAATCGAGAGTTCTTTGGGGCCATAACAATACTTTCTTCCCACACAACACCTCTCTCTCTGTCTCTCATGTAATGAACTTCATCAAAAATAATCCAAGCTACCTCCCTTATAACTTCTGATCCTTTGTACTGCATGCTTCGCCAGATCTCTGTGGTCATCACCTGAAATTACATTTTCACAAGTTAGATGCTTACAGAATCCAAATTAACACATTGGAGAAAAAAAGTGTATGCTAAAAGCAAATCAAACCCACCAAGCAAGAAGCATTCGGGTCGATGGTGACATCACCTGTCATCAACCCAACATCTGAAAACTCCTCTTTGAACTCTCTGTATTTCTGATTACTAAGTGCCTTGATGGGGGAAGTGTAAATCACACGTTGCTTATTACGCAATGACATAGCTATGGCGTACAGTGCCACCACTGTTTTCCCAGCAGACGTATGTGCAGAAACCTGAAACACATTTTAAATTGGTTCCATCAACAACAGACCACACACGCATACTTTATCCTGCGTGGACGTAGACTGCAAACAAGCAAACTAAAACAAGAAAAGGTAACGAGAAGAACTTCCAATTTTAGGTATAACGTAAAAGTAATCTACTTAGTGAGTCCACTTAAACTCCATTCCTTCTATTTTTCTCACTAAACAAGGCTCTTACACCTTTCTACATGTGATACAAGAAAGCCATAGAGAAATACCATGACGGATTCGCCACTGTTAAGACACCTGATGGCTTCTAGCTGAAAAGGGTCCAGAGTAAATGGAAATTCCTTGGCCGGCGTTGAGTGTTCCTGGTTAGCCAAACTGGCACGGTGCACGTACCCTTCAGGATACGACACGTGGTGAAGGCAGGCCACTGGCTCGTCCACCAACACCATCGATTCATCCCCCTTCTGTTGCTTTGTTGGCGGAGTCCCGCAATCCTCGGTCCCCTTTTCCAATGATTTCCTCTTTACTGACCCCATAACTGCCACTAAGAAAACTAATGAAACATAGACGGTATATAAAGCGTGACATAATGCATCAAACAGATTGAAATACCCTATTGTACATTCCTACTTGTGTGAGGGAAAACAAAGGTGTTCTCCATGAAGAATAAGGCTGCCGGTTACTAAGCAGGTCTACAATTTTACAAACAGAAATAAGCAACCTTTCATGATAGGTAAAGTTTACCTGTCTCGATGACGGCGGCGGGCGGCGGAGGAAAAGATAGAGCTTCTAGCTTCTGCCCGGCAGCTCAAATTATGGAGGCGCAGAAAAAGGGAAAAGAGGTTTTTGTGCGCTCCTCTTTAAATTACACAGTGCCGGTTGGGGGTAATGCTTACGACGACGTATAGATGGTAGAAATGACACATATATAATTTTTCCAATGCACTACGTCTAAGTGGCAGACTAATGTGATTCGTAAACTTATTTAACATAAATTTGTGTTTTGTATTGACACATGTTGAGGTTTTGAATATTATGTTTGGAGGATAATGCTTCCCTACCTACCGTGGACATATTAAACATGTGCCTACCATGGGTAGGTGAGCAGGATTGTATGTTTGGAATGACGATAAACTATTTTAATTTTTTTTTTCTTTAAATTATCATATACTACTCTTTATTTTTTTATTTAATTCATATATTAAATATTAGAAATATGTATTCATTTTATTTTTAAAAATTTATAAATTTCTTATTTTTATTTTATTTTTTATATATAATCTACCAAAATAATCATATTTTCAATTTTTTATTTGACATCCATATTACATATATAAAATAAAAAATAATTTTATATATATTTATAAATAATATTATCTTTATTATCAACTCAATTTAAAAATATCTTATAGCAATATAAATTATTTTGTGTTCTTGTTTGTTTGTTAGTTGTGTGTTTTATGTTTGAGTATTGTTGTGTTTTTGTTTGGGCCCTTGGCCTCTGTAAACAAGAGCAGGAGCAACCTTTATTCTCCTGTGAGGAGCAGCTCATGTCTCTGTTATCCTATCTTGTGTTTTGTTGTGTTAGTTGTTTCGTTGTGGTAATTGTCTCGTGAGTCTTGTTTTTGTTTCTAGCGTTGCTAGAGTCGGGATTCTAGGCGGTCGTCAGACCTGTCCTCCCATTTTATTCTCTCGTTGGGAGCGTTGTATTTCTTATTCGCACATCTGTACTTTTAGTTTATATAGTTCATCTAACGTTTCAGCCAAAAATAATAATAATAATACTAATAATAATAAGATTATATAAAAAATAAATATTATTATGTTATTTAAAATAGTAAATATAAAAGAACATCATAATTAAATATAATAAAATAATTTTGTATTTCATAAAGTTAGAAAATATACATTTTTACGTAAATTCAAAATTATTAATTATATGAATTTTAAATACTTGAAAAAATAAAATACTTACTCTATAAATATAAATATAATCACAATACAATATATTTTGTTTTGTTAAAAAAATGAATCAAATATATGGAGTTGTAAATATATCAGTTTTATACATATATAGTTTTAAAAATATTAAAAAATATCTTGTTTTGCAAATTTAGTGTAAAAATACAGGCACCATTTGAATTAATTATCACTTTGTTAGTTATTTATTATTGTTGCATATTCATCATACATAAGTTCACAATAAAAATATGTATTATTTTAATTTTTATTGTACAAATATTAATATATTTAAGTACTTCTGTAGTAAGTTGTGGAGAAGTTAGAAGCTTTTACAACCAGCTATTTCTACGTCACATCTTTTGTCATGTCAAGTGCACCCTTTGCACAAGGTCTACCATATTTGAATTTGGGTATGGCTTATGCTACCGTTAAGGGTGACATCAACCTTACCTTAGGATTTGTGGATATTTATCAGAGTCTTCTGTTAATCTTTTAATTGATTTTCAGTTTATGACTCTAGATTACACTACAAAGGGATTTTTATTTCTTTTTTCTTTTTAAATGCAACTCGTGAGTTGTGGCTACAGTGGGTTTTTCAACGTAATCTAACTCATACTTGTGGGTTTGCTATCGCTAACCACGTTGTATTTTCCACGCATTTGACATGCAGTCGTATGTGGGGAGTGATTGTTTGAGAGCATCTCCAGTGACATATTGTTGATTACATTGTATGACATTAAGAAAGAAAATTAAGGGCTTGATTGTTTATGAGTTAATTTACACACTTTTATTTCAACTCAAAATTTAACTCAACTTTAACTCAATTCCACTATCTTTAATATTATTCATACAAATAAATAATACAAACCAATCATTCTTACACATCACATCAACTTTAATTCACTATTCATCCACTCACATAATTTTAACTACCTATCATTTCCAATCATTTTCAATAATTTATCTCTTACTTTTACATCAAATCAATTTTAATCATTTTATTTTAAATATTATTTTAATACATTCTTAAAATTTCACTAACAACTAACCATAGCACCATTTTCAAATCAACTATGGTTAACCAAAATAACTCATTTTGAATAAATTATTTCATAAACAATCAAGCCTTAAGAAACCGTGTCTCCAATGGCTAATGTTAATTGTGGTATAATTTGACATTAGTAAAATACTAAAATTATAATTTGTTGGAAAGAACAAAAATGAAATAAATAATATAATATAATATATAATAAAAGTTGGTTAAAAGTAAATTTACATTTAAAAAGACTTCCATAAATTTGTATGCATATAGATTTTTTCGTGTCATGTGACGACGCGATCACGGACTATTGGAGTATGTAGCCAAAATCCTGTGAGATACAACCCACATAGGTAGCACCAAAGAAGCACCTATTTTCTACAGAAGTGTTTTACATTAGTATTTGTTATATTTTTTTCACATGTCAAGGCATTCTTTACATATTCTGTCTACTAAT